TATATATATATGTATATATATATATATATATATATATGTATATATAAAACATGTTATCCTATTGGCACAATGTTATGTATGCATGTCAAGACCCGAGATGTGATCATCCAATGATAGTTTTTTCTGCATCGAGGTGGTTCTGCTTGAGCTGTTAATAATGTCTGTGCATGTCCGTGTGTGTGTTCTACTGTGTAAAGGTGTGCTCCTGTGTGTCAAGTGTATGACTAATGGCTTTAGCAATGCTAAGCCACACGGGGCTTGACTGCATGTTATGAATAGAAAATCACTGCGCTTTTTTTTGAGCAAGCTAATCAATTTGGTTCCACTTGGCACATGAGCCTTATTCTCCATCAAACCATGTTGATCACCGAATTGCTGTGTGCATTTGCATTACATGATGCAGTGTTTGGAATAATCAGTAGTCCTCATTTCCTCATAGTCAGTTGTAATTGATGCTTAACATCCAGTAACACATTACATATTCTCAACAAGGCACATGAACAACACACAACCTTCTACGTGTTTAAGACCACTACCAGGCACTTTTAAATTAACTGCATTGCTGCATTGAGGCAAAAGCTGATGTCTGGTGATAACACCTTGTTCGAGTCATTTTCCAATTCTTCTGAAATGTCAAAGCTATACTAACCTCAGTTCATTTGTTTCCTTTATAATGAATTAAACATGCTTAAAAAACTTGCAAAATTGAATGAAGACTTTTTTTTCCCCGAAATACATGAGATAATTGCTGAAATCATGCACAAATTCTTGAAATTCTGTAACCTGCGCAATCTTCATTTGCATGCCGGAGGAAGTCTAGCTTACCATTTCTGTGAATTTGACAGACAGTGGTATGCCTCGCTGGACATTTCGGCGGACTGAGAGCTTTTTCTCTCACACGCCAACAGTCTTAGGTTGGTGTAAAGCAAGAAGGTGTCGAGCAATTTTGGTTGATTTGATCCAGGTCCAGGCAGACAAATTTTGCGCTTCACTGATATATGTGGTGGATGTCATCATATATCATTCCAAAATATGACAACAGCATGCATCAAACCCTCAGAATCATTGTAGAAATGAATCCATTAAATGTGTTATTATTCTTATTCTTATTCCTATCTTTAATATATTTTAAAAGCAGTCACAAACTGCAGCACAACTGGTGTGTGTGTGTGTGTGTGTGTGTGTGACTGGACCTTTCGGCGGACCGAGAGCTTTTTCACTTTGTGTGTGTGTGTGTGTGTGTGTGTGTGTGTGTGTGTGTGTGTGTGTGTGTGTGTGTGTGTGTGTGTGTGGTGGGGTTGGAGGTGCGGGGGCTCACACACAGACATAGAATCTGCGGGTTGAAGGCGGTCTCTTAGTGCTCACTTCGCAGTGGGCGGCCAGCATTACATCATCTGCTAGTGAAGATCTTCTTGAAGTTCCTTATGAATGTACTTTGCAGGCCAATTGCCTGCACAAACTCCAGCAGGTTTGTTTTGCATCCGCCGTGTAGACTACATGCCTCACTTTTGCTGAATTGAAAGGCAATGAGGAGAAGCTGCTTTGATTGGTCAGAAATAAAGTCAGCTGTGTTCAGTCGCGCAACGGCAGAGACGCCCATTTCTAACTGGGCCTGTCTACCAAAATGCCCCCCAAAAAAGAAAACTCTACCCACAAGCACCATTATCTATCTATCTAGCTAACTAGCTAGCTATCCTAGTTTGAGTTGTCCATGTCATAAAAAGGTGGTTCCTCTCAGCTCCAGAGCACTTTTTGAAAGTTCCCAGGACTAGTGAGGGGGCAAATTGTGCTGAAGAAAAAAGACGTAGCATCTTGTATACTCATGTACTGTCGTTACAAAAAGTTCAAAAAGTTATTTTGAGAATGGAGCGAAAGAGGCTGGTTAGGTGGACAGATGGAATGTAGGCACTTCTCAGCAGCATAATTTTGAATCTGAAAGGAGAAATAATGTGTAACGGACTGTCACAGCCACGCTGGCAGAACTAGGCATATTTCACACAGTTGTACAAGTATTTTTATCATTTATATATTTTAAGCGACAAAGGCATTCAACGTGATTTTGAATCTCCAACAAGAAATGACAAAAGTGTAAAGGAGGGGTGTCAAACTCATTTTTGTCGCGGGCATTGTAGTTCTGGGTTCCCTTGGAGGGCCGTTATGACTATGAATTTTGTGAAACCATATAAATGTTCAACCACCTCCACATATTACATACACAGCGAGCAACAAATAGTTAATTAGTTCTAACATCAGTAGTTAAGAATAATGGATTGTTTAAACATTGTTTTCATTATTATATATAAAAATTTGAAATTTTGTTTCAGACTTTAGCAAGCATCATTGAAGTTGACATGCTTGAATGGCTTACACGGGCCACATAAAATGATGTGGCGGGCCAGATCTGGCCACCGGGCCTTGACTTAGCCACACTGGCTATTCATTTATTGTTGCTCATTGGTTTATATAGGAAATTTGATATGTTGAAAAAAAAAGGGAAAATGTATTTATTTTTAAATGTAGTATTAAACGAATTCATATATTTCCCACAAACACAAAGACCAAAGTACCGCAAATCGTCAGTGTCGAGTACCGGTATCAATCTATATCCCCAGTATTTGGGATTTCATGGACGTTTAGCTTTTTCTCGATCGTGAGTGCCAATGGAGAGCAAAAGTATGAAGTAACTATAACTATGGCTGTGGCAACATGACCTCGGTACAAGTCTAGACTTGACATAGATTTGGACTGGAGTTGGATAAATGTTGTTAAGTGCTTGGATGAGTAGTCTGGTAAAATAGCAATCTTAATCCAGTTTCTCAAATTTAAATACTGCTTTCATTGAATCCACACTCTTACTTCTGCCTCCTTTGTTTTAAAAGGACAAACGAATGTGTTCATTTCTTGATGACACAATATGTATTTATGATGCCCTTTAATTATTATTTGGGTCTTTATGCACTTTTCTTCATCATTCACTTTTTTATCCTTGGTCAAAACTTCTTATTATCCTTCATTTGTATGTTTACACTCAACTGTATCCTTTTCTCTGCCACCTCCTTCTAGTGTGCAGCAGTGCTCCTGTAAACATGAAGGTGCAACATGTGAATATAAGTGCCCTGGTGGTTCGCTGGGCACGTCCAGAGGTCATCTATCACCCACCGATCCTCCATTTTTTGGTGTCCTACAGCTGGACAGCTCATGATGACAGCTATGAAGAGACACACCTCACTGATGCAAGACACAAACTGGTAAGACTGTGTGGACGTGTGAGTTAGTGTTATGTTGCGTGTATTAATAAACGAACATTGCATTTGTTAATTAACAAAAAATAAATAAATGCTCGCTAATCAAAAATAAAACCTAGGTCATGTTGCGTGTAAAACTGCAATGAACAAACCTGCAGACTCTACAATTTAAGTCTATGCGAAAACACATTAATTTGATTAATTTAACTTTAAATCATTAATGAATTTGTGTTTTGCCCAGGCTTGATGAGGTAAAAACTGTAAATATTGGAGAAATTAGTACAAACTGAAACAGGGCTAGTAGTTCATGTTTTGTATTGCTGAGGCCGAAAGAAAAAAATTGAATGAAGCTTTTTAAAGAAGCCTATTTTCAAATAAAAGGAGCATAAATCATATACACAAACTTATTCGACCTGAATACTTGCCGATGACAGGTAGCATTAAACATTTATGGAGTCTTGACCAGAGGTGCCCATTGATTTAAATCGTGAACTACCAGTGGCTTGCGAAGGGGGTGCCGGTCGGTCACATGACAGGAATTCAATCACTGCTAACCCTCCCAGTTTTAGATAAAATATACTATAGCAGCCTCGCCTCAAGACACTGAAACGATCCTCAGTCATACTCAAAGTTTACTCAAAGATGCCATACATTATACAGTGGGGAGAAAAAGTATTTGATACACTGCCGATTTGTAAAGTCTTTCCACTTACAAAGCAAATGGAATTTGTATCAAAGGTGAGGGACAGAATCTAAAACAAAAAACCAGAAAAATCACAGTCAAAAATATCAAAAGCAAACTCAAAACTCTTTAAAATTAGCATACTTCTAACTCATGACTGATTTTCAGAGGTATTTCCTCTGTTTAAGCCTTTTACATTTAATAAAGAAAAACAATGTCATGCCTCCAGTGGGCGCTGGGTGTACTGCATGCAGTAAAATTCAGCCGCCGTTATTTAATTAAATAATGTGGATTGTATTATTACTGCAATATATTGTACATACAAAGAAATCCATCAATGCATTATCCAAACCGCCTATCCTCACGAGGGTATATTTTTAAATAAATAAATAAATAACGTAGATAGATCACTTGGTGTTGGGCATTTTTATAAGTAGTAGAGCTCTGCGATACCTGAGACTTTGGTATCGATCAATACCAAGTTAATATTGATACCAAGTACTTTTAGGTTCATAAAATATGGTATTTTATATAATTTATCCTATTAAATACAATGTTTTATGCAAATTGGGGTTTCTTTTCGGTTCTCAACCATGCCATATTATAATTTCGTCAACAAAAACAAACCTGGATACTTGTCGCAAAAGTAGTAGTAATCGTCATATTCGTAGTTCCTGTTTCTCGTAAATATTGAAGAGAACCATAACTATCATCACCCGCCACCTTAATGAGAATAAGTGGTTTAGAAAATGGATGGATGGATGACTCACATTTTCAAAAAATTTGCGGCTTGTGAAAATGTAAAGAGGCTAGTAATTTTAGGAAACCACTAGCCAAAGTGACTGGTGGGCAAAAAAGTGAATGTAATTGACTGGCGACCAGTCCAGTGTGTTGTCTGATTTTTGTCCGAAGTCAGGACAAGGCTCCAGCTCTCTGAGACCCTGATCAGGGAAATCAGTACAGGAAATGGATAAATGGAAATACAGTTCATACAATTGGTGTCAAATGTCGGGTTATAGGTTTGGGTGCTCGGATGACATTTGAAAGATGCTGTGAAGGAACTGAAAGCAGATATATTATGCCCTATTAAATAGTATTCCTTGAGGGGAGAGAGTTGTGAGTGGAGCTCATCTCAGTGGACATATTGATTAAGGGAACTGAGGTGATCAGAAGTTGATGGGAACGTATGATTGTAATGAATATCACAATTAAAATAGAAGCTACAAAAATCTCTCATCATCTAATAGGAGAAAATGTATAATATTAAGCATAGTATACAGTACTGTACATGTGTAAAATGTTAACATTCTTGAGCAATCTATAAACAGTGATTAATATTGGTAAAACATATTGATGAGGTGAGAGCACAACTTTTAAAAGTTAAAAAAAAATGGACCACCCTAGGCAACAGGCAAACAAATGGGAAGGTGCCTGGCGTGTCCTCTGAGTCGACAAAATAAGTTAATGAGACTTGGTGGTAGAATGAGAGATTCAGAAGAGTGCATAGAAAGTTCAGGGTGGTGAAGAAAATATGGGTGAATAAGAGAATTGAAGCACAAGGAGAGGACACAGGAGGTGATGAGGGAGGTGGGAAACCCCAAACAGAAAGTTTATGCTGAGTCGAACAAGAAATTGGGCAGAAACTAAGGAGAAAAGAAACGCACGGAGATATGAGGAAGAGCGATAGATTTTTAAGAAGGATTTGCAGCAGGTTGATAGGGTAATGAAAGACAGAGTTGGAAATGTACTGGCAAGTGAGAAAATGCGAAGTCGATGGAGGAAGTACTTGAAGGAGTTGATAAATGAAATTAGAAAGGAGGAGAAGGAGGTGGAAACTGTGAAATAGTTGTTCGGCCAGATTAGAAAGGATGAAGTCAGGAAAGCACTGAGGAGGATGAAGACTGGAAATATCTTTCGAAGTATGAAAGTGCAAAGGGTCGATGGCAGTGGATTTTTTTTTCATGATTATTGAGCAGGATCTTAGAGAATGAGAATGTATGAAGTGAACTAAAAGTATTCTGGCCCTTCTTTTTTTTGGGGGGGGGGTTGTCAAGTGCCTCGTTGTAGCTAGATGGAAGTGCTGTGTGCAAACTCACTGCTGGACAATAGACACACAATGAACAATGAAGAGGATACAGGAAAACAATGCCACAATGCCCAGCAAAAATTTGCAAGGGGTTCACCAGAACCAGCAAGCAAGGTACACACTGGCATTTAATGCCACAATTCTTACAAAAAGTGTGCTCGCGCAAGTTTTTCAAGCCCCTGTGTGCACAACTGCACAAGAACAGGCATGCACGGCATGCAAAGAGCAGTCGTGGAGCTGGTGAAGCGGGGAGACTTGAACCTGGAAATGTGACCCCCGTAACAAAGAGGTGGCGGCTCCTCAGTGGTCGTCTATCGCTCGAGGAATGTGACCAAACGTCCTCTTTTGCCCTGACACATCCACAAACTGGATGGCCTGGAAACAAAGCTCAAGAGGCCAGATCGAGATGGTTTGCACATGTGCACAGGAAGGACAGTGGTTCAATCAGTCAAAGGATGCTGGGAATTGAGCCACCCAGAAGGAGGCAAAGAGAGGCTGAAGAGGAAGTTTATGGATGTGATTAGTGAAGACGTGCAGATAGAGTTAGAGGAGAAGAGATGGGACAGGAGGATTCGCTGTGGTGATCTCTGAATAGGGTCAAGCAGAAATGATGAGATTAAGCTTTTTTTTCACATTTTAAAACAATTTCAAGGTGTCTTAAATGTATATGACATGCATTGGTCAAAATCTCCTAAAGATTAAGAATGTAATTATATTCATCATGGCATACTTCCTTTCATCTGAAAATCAAGAGTGTGAAAACCCAAGTGCAGTTATTTTCAAGACAAAGAAAGCGCTTGGACACACTGCCAAGAACAAACACACTCTATCCATACCCCACGTAAAACCAAAAAGCTAAACAAAACATAAAACAAAACAAAACTATTGCTATTCTCAACCGAGGGCGGCGCGGTGTATGACTGGTTAGAGTGTCAGCCTCACGGTGCAGAGGTACGGGGTTCGATTCCGGCTCCGGCCTTCTTGTGTGGAGTTTGCATGCTCTCCCTGAGTGTGAGTCTGAGCGCAAATGGTTGTTTGTCTATGTGTGCCCTACTATTGGCTGGCAACCAGTTCAGGGTGTCGCCTACTGCCCGAAGACAGCTGGGATAGGCTCCAGCACGCCCCGCGACCCATGTGAGGATAAGCGGATCAGAAAATTGATGGCTGTATGGGTGGATGTTTTCAACCTAATCTACATTTGTCAACACTCAATATAGCCTCCAAACCCAAAGCTGCCAAATTATACTTGTCACTTAATGCGATTAATGTGACCCAACACAACATTGAACACAAAGACCCTTCACGCCCACATGAAACTTATTACAATATTTTTTAAATTCAATGCTGGTAACACTGTTTGTTATTACTAATCTGTGTCAACACTGCAGATGCTTACTTTGGCAGCTGATCGTGTCATTGGCTGGAACTCAAGGTGATCTCAATTTAGCCCCACTTTTAGGTAACGGCTTGCTCACAGACCCCTTTTCAGAAATGGGAAGATAAAGATTTATTTGGTTGCTTGATAGGAGTGGCCCGGTGGTGGACTGGCTAGCGTGTTAGCCTCACAGTGCAGAGGTGCAGGGTTCGATCTTGGCTCCGGCTTTCCAGTGGGGAGTTTTCATGTTCTCCCCGTGCCTGCGTGGGTTTTCTCCGGATACTACGGTTTCCTCCCGCATTCCAAAAACATGCAGGTTAAAGGAACACTCTAAATTGTCCCGAGGTATGAGTGTGAGCGCGGATGGTTGTTCATCTATGCAACCAGTTCAGGGTGTCCCCCGCCTACTGCCCAAAAACAGTTGGGATTAGACTCCAGCACGCACCGCGACCCTTGTGAGGATAAATGGTTCAGAAAATGGATGGATGGATGGATGGATAATTTCACACTTAAGAGATGGACAGGCACTTCAAAGGCCCAACCATTTGTATACAAAATACGCAACCATCCATCCATTTCCTATACTGCTAATCCTCTTCAGGGTTGTGGGTAAGTTGAAACGTATTCCTGCTGACTTTGGGCAAACAGGGGCGTACACCCTGGACTGGTTGCGAGTCTGTTGCCTGGAACATGTAGAGACAGACAAACATTCACTTTCACTTCAGTGGAAACTAAAGCCACTCTGCCTACACCTGTTGTTGCTATTTGTTTTCTTTATTTTCTTTATTTTTATTTAACATATTTATATATTTATGTCCTTTTAATTTAATGTAAATTTTAGCTGTGTGTGTTCAATGCAC